CAGAGCAACAACAGACACCTGAGGCACAGAGCTGTGTCTACGTGTTACTGAATGGACACACAAAGCAGAGCTTAAGAGTAAAAGCTTCTGTTGAAAAACCAAAGATTTGAGATCAAAGGAGGAAAAAACAGACACAAAATGAGCACAAAGACACAACAGAGAGATGCATGAGTCAGTCCGTCGAACTCATGTTAGAGATGAGGAGGTCATACATGTTCGTTGGGCTGTGGGATGGCATCCATCAGGTCCACCCCCTCAGCGTAGACCTGGATGAGCGACAGAATGTCTCGGTTCCTGACGGCCTCGTAGAGAGCCCGCAGCCTGGACGCGGCGTCGGTGCACTTCCGCCGGGCGAAGCGTTTCTCGGTGTACTTCGCTGTGATGTAGTCCTTCCTCATCTGCCTGCAAACCAGACGGACGAGTCACTACGACATCCTACTACAGCTCAGACTCACCTCCTGGTGCCGTCACCTACATGTCGCTGGTCGGAGTTGGTTTGGTCACTTCCTGCGCTGACAGAGCTGCCTCCATGATCTCATTGAAGCTGGCGTTTCCCACATTATTCGCCAACTAAAAGGCAACAAAAGCCCAATATCAACTCTGGTTCGGTTCTGGCTGTAGCTCCTAAGATTAGACACGTGCTCACACTTCCTGATTCTTCACAGCTGAACACGACTGACATGCACGGCAAGGGTTCTGGTTTCCTGATTATTCCAGAAAAGGTTTGCAAAAATTCAGAATGTCCCTTCCATTCATGTCTTCACACAGGTGAATATAATGAGGTTAAGAGATTTCAAAGAAACGGTTTTAAACAAATCAAGAGACAGTCTTGCGGGATGGTAAAAATCTGAGGGTTTTTTGCTTTGCTTTTTTGGCTTTTTCCTGCAAATATTTTAATTTTATTTAACAGATTAAAGTCATGATGAAATGAGTCACCGCAAACTGACAAACAGAATGCTCTGACCTAGACCAATGACTTCCGTTACTTCTGTCGGGACAGTGAAGTGGACTCACCAGCAGCTCAGAGGTTCCCAGGACGTCCAGGTCCAGACTCTGGATCCTGGAGTAGTGGACCCCCATTTCTCTGTGGATCCCTGAGCACTCAATACAGATCAGCACCCCGAGGTTCGTGGACAGCCAGGAGGGATCTGTAGAGGGTGGGTGGGGGCACAGAAACAACAAGCGGTGCCTTCACATCCTCAAAATGTAATTTCATGACTAAAGAAACAACAAAGTGAACGAGATGAATTAACAATCTGCTGACAGACAAACCTGGAAAAGAATTCTGGGAAGTTTCTGCAGCTCTGAGCAGAAATGTGTTTGGACTACAGGTCCACGTGAGGAAGCTGAGTGAATACTTTTGGCAATATAGTGAATGTTGAATATCTACTTAATAAAAAAAACTGTATGTTATTAATCTCATCTTTGGACGTGCTGAGATAAACAGATGAAAACGTGTTTTATGGTGTTATTAGAGAGACTGTTGATGCGCTCTCTCTCATGACACTAACGTGTTCTCACTTCTGTAAACCCTGACAGGAAATAGAAGTGCTATGAAGTTCCACATCAAGTGTTCACAGTGCAGTTCAGTAAAACCACCATCTACAAGAATATCAGCTAGGTTTAGAGCAACAGACCAACTAAAAAAGTTGCATAAAACAACTTCAATGCCAAAAAACCCCCCCCACACAAAACAACCGCAAAAGACAAAAACTGCCTGAAGGCCCAGAGCTTTCCACAAGCAGTCCTGCAGAGGTCAGTGGGGTTAGAACGCTGGCAGAACTAAGCTGTCACTGGTTTTTGCTCTGAGCATGTGCAGGAAGCCTTAAAATAAAAATAAGACTGTCAAGGCCACCACCGTGAATCTAATCAGCATCCTCTGAAAGGAACGCATCCAAGTCCAGACCCTCAAACCAGATGGAAAGGTGAAAGGCTCATTCAAGCGTCACTGCTTTTTTGACCTGACCTTGAGTGACTGGACTTCCGTGTTTAATCTTTGAATTTTGTTTCCTTTGATGAGTGGTGTTTGTTTGAGAGAGACTTCTGAATAATTCTGACCTGCAGCTCCACAGTCGCAGCAGCTGTTGTTTCCAGTTCTCTTCTTCACCTCTCCCACGATGGACTTTGTCAGCTCCTGGACGATGTTGTTCTCACCCTCGTCCTGGTCTCCTTTGAACGCCTTGTTCAGCGCCTCCTCCTTACTGTTCTGCAGCACCGACACCCAGCTGAAAAACACCAAACCATAAGCGCTCGCAGTAGCGCGAAGCCCGGCAGCTTAGGCCATGCCGGCTCGTACTTACATCTGACACTCGGCCTCATCCTCGGCCTGGAAGTGGTAGGTCCGGTCATCTGTGTGTGTGGGGACCCGTGTGTACACCTGTGAGCATGAACACGTTTGTTTTTAAAAGGTTCCTCGGTCATCTGTGTGTCTAGAGGGTGGGGGGTGGGGGTGGGGGGCACGAGACAGAGTTTAGACTTTACACACATACATACAGAGGAACATGTGAGCAGGAAGTCTGCAGCATACGGGAGAACAGGTCGAAGCTTTTCTTCTCATCGGGGTTCCTCTTCACCTGGCAGGTCAGCAGGTTGAGCTTGGCTGGAGGTTTGTTTGGCTGCAAGACAACGGGAGGAGGTGAGACCTCAGCTCTGACTGAACCTCACTCAGATATCAAACATTCAGTGTTACAGAGAAAAGATCCTGAAACTGTCACAGAGTCTGTACTGTTATATACCATAACATGGACAATAGTTGGATCCCAGTTAGGTTCAGCCCACAGCGAGAACCTGTAAGGACTTTAAGCTGCACAACTCAAAACCTTCCCTCATCTTGCAAAACATCTGCACATATCATTTAAAGTTCTGAGATGATTAACCTCAGTGACTTTCTGTAATCTCATTTTCTACTGTTTACTGAAGCCTGATGACTTTTGATCCTCTGGCTTTTCATGCCACAAAATGTCTCATTCATAAGGAAATGTCCTAAAACTATTGATGAACCACAGGGTTTTCCTTTCCTCCACCACTGTCTCCTGCCTCCCTAAATGGGCATACCATGCGGGCCCGACAGTTCACCCACTATGGGCCCATGGACCCGTTTTAAGTCTGGTAGACTAAAGTTTTATGAGGTTTTTCCTTCACATTTTTGATATCAGAGGATCTTTTGCAGCTGACGGTTCTACTTCCCAAAGCAAGGCAAGTGTCAGGTTTCAGAGCTGGAGCTGATCATCATGCGCAACGTTTGTTTCTTTGTGTTCAATTCATTTTGATCATGTAAACAAAATGCAATTTAGGAAAAGAAAAGAAAAAAGAAATACTAAACTAGAAATACGCTCCAATATCGCTTCACCTATTCTCAGAAAGGAGTGGGAATAAGTGCACATTGGACCCTAAAATGGATGACCTCGGTGAGCTGACCTCAGATGGAGCACTGCGAGGACTCTGTCTGCAGTACCTGTCTTCATTTGAGTCTGAGTGGTAAATGTGGAAGGTTTCTACCAGCTGTGAAGGGTTGGCGTAATCTTGGACATGTTACGCTAAAGCAGTGGTTCCCAAACTTTTTTTGCTAGGCCCCCCTTTGTTTTACAAGAAAAATGTTCGCGCCCCCACCCTTCCCGCGCACACACACGCATCCTCCAACCACACACCCCCATATTTTGCTCCATTGCGGTTTATTTCACACCTTTACATTTAGTAAACAATTAAGCAAATACAAGTAATCTGCAATAAATTACAGGTAGTAATAAAATAAACTACTAACTCTTTTACGCTACGTCCACACCTACACGGGTATTTTTGAAAACACAGCTGTTTCGTCCACACGTGAACGGCGTTTCGAATCACCGAAAATGGAGATTATTTAAAACTCCTTTTTTGCGTTTACGTGTGGACGAGGAATACAGAGTTCATCACACAACGTCAAAGGTATGTGCCTCTTTTCACATCACGCTGTCGCCACGTTATTGTTTACATGAGATGAATTGCAGAATGGTAGATAGAGACAAAATATTGTTACTGTTAATCTGACTATCTTCAGGTTTTACACGCTTACATATACACACGCAGTTACTGTCCCTTCATTTAGAAAGGCAGAGGCGTCACGGTGTAATTATTTTACGTGTATTGTTCTCCTGTGTAATAATATTCAACATTGCTATGAATACATTTTTCCAAAAATGCCTCTCTGTGCAAAATGGGTTAAAAACATAAACA